ACAGCCTGGCCGTAAGTGTGATACGATATCAAGGGAAAATGGGCAACAAAATACAAATGTGGCCACCTTCATTCACACCATGGAATTACCTCTCCGATATTCACCTGTGGCCCTCAACCCGAGGTGCAAACCTGTTGCCAAACCAAACTAGCTCCTTGGTACAGAACTAAGCTCGGTCGAGGTCGCTCGGTTGCATCAAAGATCACCTCAACGAAAATGGCGGAGAAGCAATACTGGAACAATCTCCTCCGACCCGTTCACTGACCATCTCCGCACTCCATCCGCCCTACCAACGGTCCTCCTCCAGCGCTGGCCAGAGCATACCCGCCAGAACCACTGGATGACGATGTGGTTGGCGTGGAAGTCGCCCTTGTAGACGGTGTTCTGCTTCCAGTTCTTGACGTCGATGTTGCCCAGGCCGCACATGAGCAGCTCCAGCTCATTCTCGTCGAAGATCTTGAGCAGCGGCAGCGGCACGATCTCGTTGAAGCCCTCCAGGATGGCGTTCATCTGCGGCTTGATCCGCGACACGAAGCGCCACTCGATGATCAGGCTGCGGGCGGCAACAGTCGTTAGCACAGGCTCGTGGGCAGCGCTGCAGGGCGACGGGTCGTCAGAACACCTTCGTTGGCAGATCGGTGGGGAAGGGGCGCAGGACGCGTTCGTGAACAGGGCTGCAGGGGCGTCAGGCCACGATCCGGGGCAGAGCTGCGGAGCAGGGGCCATGCGCGCCCGTGAGCGAAAAGGGGACTTCAGTGCGCCACAGACAATTCCATACTGGTCAGATCACCATTCACTCAGGACACTCCGCTGCAATGTCGCACTGAAACATCCACGGGAAGGGAAACAATGGCCGTTTCTGAGCAGCCACAAAGCAAACGAGCGTCCACCTTCCACACGTCGAAAGACACGACTCACGGAAACGTTGCAAAAAGTTGGCGACGCGTGTGCTCGCAAACACCAAATGACGGCCGGCCCTCGTTCGCAGCTATCTAAACCACGGTCCAGTCGCCGGCCAACTAAGCTCAACTCACCCGATATACTCATTTTATTTTCATTCGTCACTGGAATGTTGGCGCCGTTCGGCTTGAGCTCGCGTTCGTTCTTCTTTCCGAAATTCTCCTCATCGACGGCGAAGGTCAGCTCCAGGTCGGCCGGGTCGTTGTCCTGGAGGCAGACACCACTCCGTCGGTCCACGCAGCAGCGAAACCAAACGCGCCACTGGCCGTCTGAGGCTTGACGGCGCGTCAACTTCATTGGTTATCTGCACCGCTGCCATCTACGTCGGTCGCCGTTTACATAGTGGTCGAGGAGTCCCCCATATTTCTGAGTGATTCGTGGAGCTGCTGCCCCAGGCTAAAGTTCTCAGGCAGGTCGATACCGATTTTTGACCCTCATTTATGCAGTGTTGTGCAGAGTTTGGACATTTCAAGCCGGCTGGATTAAGACATGTGATTTATGGTGCACTCAGAAGCCGATCAGGGGAGCCTTACGGGCATGGGGCAGATGAGCTCACCACCGCACCACTTACGGTCGCAATACAAGACAGAAAAAATACTCCGGCTATTTAGGGCAGTGCAATGCAATGCATTTGGATAAGGTTGGTTCTGCATTTTTGCAGCCACGCAGGTTGCTACGCACACCACTGTTTTCTTGTGCACGTAAATCGCACACTAGAAGGGGTCAAATTACCGCAGCAAAACTACATATTTTGGTAGAATCCAGGACACGGCGGTGAAAGCAATAGCGAACTGAAGAAATGGTGAACTAACAGCACCCTTCGAAGTTCATTCCACTGTGTTGTCACCAGGTATACAGGAGAGCAGTGCTCCACTCAGATGCCATAGGGAAGTTGTGCACTTCTCCACCTCATACCACATCCACAAAATCGTAGTGCTCTGTCCCCATCTCAGGCACGAGTCGAAGCACTCATCCACCCCGCTCCACATGTAGGAGTGCAGTACTTCTACCTCGAGCGCATAAGGGAGCTGTCGTACTCTCACCTTGATCCACATCAGGGAATTGTAGTACTCCGAGTCGACGCTCTCCATGTCCTTCAGCTTCGATGGGCATGGCCAGCATCATCTTGTAGAACGGGCGGATGAAGGAAAGCTGCGGCAGAGTACCACCGTCAAGGCGTCCTCGTCAGAGGCCAGCAGCGCCACGGCAAGCAGGCCAAATGGGCGCACCGTGTCCGACGGCATCCACACTTTGCAGGTGCCGTCACCCGCTTATCGCACTTGTGAAGTAGGTAGTGAATGAATGAGTGAATGACGTGAACAAGGCAGTGGGTAACGACGGTGACAATTAATTTCGTCTTGGCTGCATGTCCATCCTCAACGACGGCCACATGTTTTTTCTGTCAAAGCCCGCACATATCATGTAACTTCTGTAAAACGTCGATACAAAAGCTGCACATCAGCACCCAGCCGGCGAACACCAAACTTGTTCACAATTTTCTCATGCGTATTTCATATTCACTATTGTCACAATACGCTCGTCAAACAGCCGCACCGCTATCCCTCAGCCCGAGGTGGCCTCACCATCCAACAGTTTGCCGTGGAACACAGACATGCCGGCCACCCGGCCGATGAACTTGAAGTAGGACAGGTGATCATCGTTGCACAGGCCCGAAGCTGGGTTGATCTGCAGCGTGTAGTTGTCCCCTGATGAGCGAGCGGGCGCGTGAGGCGTCCGCGGGGCGGTCAGCTTCATGACACAGGCCATATAGCGTGTCCCGATGACACGCTGGGCAGGAGGGATACCTGGGCACCCATGCGCTCTGCAGAGCAAGTGCAGTTCAGTGCGGTACAAACAAGGTGCGCTACAAGTGCAGTAGCGATGTACAGCGCCGAACAGAACGGCGCTCCACAGCACAGCGCAAGGCGCTGCCAGCGACGAGGCACGCCACGCCACAATACGGTACAGTGCAGTGCAGTCCAGTGCCGGGATATAGCAGCGCAGTTCAACACGACCCGTTGCCACGCAGTTCCGATAATTTGCTTCCCCCGCCCCCCCCCCCCCCCCCCCCATTGCCGAACGTATTCGGGCCAGACGCACGCGACCCTGGTGCGGCGGAGCGGCCAACCCCAGCGCCGCCCGGGCCGGCCGTCCGGCACTCACATGGCCGAGTACTCGAACAGGCCGTAGTAGGGGTTGAACATCTCGTGCGAGAGCAGGAAGAACCACTCGCGCGACAGGCCACCGTAGTCGTACGCCGGCTGTCGATCAGACGGACGGGTCAGGGGCCATGGGGGGGGGGGGGGGGCGCTGGTGGGCACGCCTGGTGCCCCCGAGCCTGGCCCCAGTGCTGAGCCGAAGAACCGCCGTCGGTGGAGCGCTCGCGTGGGTGGGCTGTGGGCCGCCGTGCCATTCAACGTGCTGCTCATCTCTGGGTGTTTCCCACCACATTTGCGAGCACGTCTCCTCGCTGTAATAGGCGAGTGAATGTCGCCAATGTTGGGCAATGTCCAGCGAGGTTCAAGAAAAAAACCCCACAAACGATGACCCCGCACAGGACGACAGCCTGCAGCCTCCGCCAAGGATCCACGCCTGAGTACAGATCTTCACGTCCATTGTGAAGCCAGCTGCGATTCCAGAGAATGCGGCCGGACCACGTCAGAGCGCATGACGGCGTCACATGTCCACACGTCGACCAACACCATCAGCAGACCACAGCGCACCAACACAACCGTTCGGCAGCGGAGAAGCCGCGCTGAGCATCGTCATCGGCCCCAGGCGCGCACAGCACACCGCCGGCGCACGCAGCGCCGTTACCTCTCCGTGGAACTCGATCCACAGCTTCGTCTTGAGCAGCTCCACCCGGGTGACGCACGTGATGATCCGGAACGAGTCTTCGAACACCGAGTTGCGGTGCACCTTGATCTCGAACTTGTTCGGCACGCCCGACTGCAGCAGGGCCACTGAGTGATCATTAAATCCGCGCACACGTCGGGCCAACGCTCAGCCGCCGGCGCCGACGTACCGCGGTCTGACATGAGGCAGCAGCGAGTCTCACCAACAACCATTACCAGGATCCCATGTAGACAAAATACGACAAGATACGCATAAAATCCACACGGAGCGCCCAGCAACGCCCGGCTCAGTCCCCGATGTTCCTCGTCCCCGTTCCCGGGTCACTGACCGGTCGCTTCAGCTGGTTTCTCAGGTACTCGTACTTCTGTTTGTAGTCGCGGCTGTAGGGTACCACCTCGCCGGCGATGCTGGGGTTGAGGAGGCGCGGGTCCTCCCAGGTGGTGGTCCGGTTCTCTGCGGCACGGCATGCAGCCGTACAGAACAGAGCCGAAATGCGAGCGGCAAGGGTTCAGTCACGACACGCCAGCCAATGGGGGAGGCTGGAGATGGGGCAAGCGGCTGTCGTCTTGGAAACAAAACATTCCGGGTGATATTCTCAGTGACGAAAAAGACAACGTCAAGGATGTTATCTCCAAAAATGAAAAAAAATTATAGGTACCACTAACACAGCCACCTATTGAACTTATTTGGTGTGCCTATGTTGAGCACAAGGTATTACGTCCAGCCCACACTTTTCCCATACACCGAACGCGAGTACCGACATCGTACAAAGAGCGGGCACGCGGGCCTAGTGCGCTGACGGGGGAGATGCCAGGCGTCCGTGCGTGCCTGGCGTCCGACGGCACGACACGAGCACGCCACCGCGCCCGCGCAGCGCGCGTACGGACCGCGCGGGCCAACGGCGAGCGCGGCCGCCGCGCCGGCCCCACTGACTGTGGTCGATGAAGAAGATGCGTCCGTCAGCGTGCACGCGCTCCTCCCAGCCGTCCGGCAGCGGGCCCAGCTCGTCGTCAGCGCGCCGCTGCTGGCCCGGCTCGTCCGGCAGCGGCGTCGGCCGACCGGTGCGCGGGTCGATCCACGTCGTCGTCTTGTTGCAGTGGTCTGGCGGCCACGCGCGCGCCCCGTCAACTCACAAAGCGACCGGACGCCGGCTCGGCCCAGCTGCCCGCACTTGACAGAGTTCAGGGCGTTTTTCGACGTACAAAAACCTTCGGGAGTTTGTTCGCAAATGTCGCATTGGTTGACATGGCTTTGTTTCGTTCTCCAACCTTTCAAAAGTGCCTGCAACGCATGCAGCTCGTCCTGATTTTACTGCACGCCACTCGATCTTTATTGGATGTCGCCACCAGTGAGCAGCCCACAGCGCCAGCCGCACTCGCATCACTTCTTCATAATAGCGTTGTGGCTCTAGAGCACGAGTCCAGGGTGGCACTACGGGGGATGCGGGTATCCTCTCGTTTTAAGAATGGACTGCGTGCATGCTTGGGCGTGGATTCTGGCACCCAATGTCAGTAAAGTACTGACATGTGCGTGCTTGGCTGGGAACCACTCAACACACCCCAGAGATGTGAACTTACTGCACATCAGGTTTTTAACATAGACGTAGACGCTTATTCAGGTGCAAGCCAAATACCCATAAATGTTCGTATAGTCGCATGCGCTCTCTCGTTTAGTGTTCCCAATTTTCCGTTTTGTTTAAATGAGCCTCGGCTTCCAAACATAGTATGATCCTGGCACACACACCCCGGCGCGACGCGGGACACTGTGCTGCGCGGGCGTCAGCTCGCAATACCGCCAGCGTCGGTCGCAGTGCCTGGTGCCAAATGCCGCCAGCGTCGGTCGCAGTACCTGGCGCCACATGCCGCCAGCGCCGGTCGCTGGACTTGGCGCCAAATGCCGCCAGCGCCGGTCGCAGTACTTGGCGCCAAATGCCGCCAGCGCCGGTCGCTGGACCTGGTGCCAAACGCTGCCAGCGCCGGTCGCTGGACCTGGTGCCAAACGCTGCCAGCGCTGGTCGCTGGACTTGACGCCAAATTCCGACGGCCATAAACATCCGTGAGGCTCGTGAGGCTATCACAGACTTTGTACGGGAAGAAACCGCTCCAGACGGAGAGACTGTCTTTCTGAACGCACAGCACACACGGCCACAGTGGGCTGGCTCGAGCCGGCGCGGCGCTGGAGCGCCGTCACCCACCGATGAAGAAGATCCGGTTATTGGGCGCCCTCTGTACGGTCCAGCCGGCTGGCAGACCCTCGGGGCTCAGCTCCGGCTGTAACGAGCCCCACCGCCCCGGTCAGCACGGCCCACGCGCTGCCAGAGGTCACCGCCGCCGGCGCCGGGCGGCACCGGCACGACCTCCGCTCGGAATCGGTGGCGCTCTTTAGCCCTCGTCCATAGATGCTGACGGGTTAGGTCGTGCTTATTCTTTGGGACCAGAGGCCAACACGAACAATGACGAAACAAAGCGGGTAAAGTTTACTTTACTTTACTCGCGACTTCGAACACTTGATTTTACTGATGTAATAGGCAGACTGAGGTAATACATGGGAATCATTTCAATTTTGGGTTCGTAAAACCAAACAGCGCTTTGTCCTGTAAGCCATAGTAAGGCGGAGGTCACAACACTATACACCTTCCATTCACTCGCCGCTGCCAGCCATTTCAGCTCGCAGCTCGCATGAGCGGACGGCGCTGCGGGGCCCGCTCAGCTGGGCGGGACACCTCGCTAGGGATCCGTGAGCGGACGGCGCTGCGGGGCCCGCTCAGCTGGGCGGGACACCTCGCTAGGGATCCGTGAGCGGACGGCGCTGCGGGGCCCGCTCAGCTGGGCGGGCCACCTCGCAGGGGCTCAGCTGCGGTTGGAGCTCGCCACCGCTCAGCTGAGCGCCGCACCATGGCCTCCGGGTGCAGGGCTGCGCCGGCCGGTCGGCTGGCCGCGCCGCCGGCTACTCACATCCGCCGGCGCCGACGTGGAGACGGTGGAGCCGCGCCGCGAGCTGGCCTCGGCCTCCTCCCGCAGCGACACGCTGTTCAGCAGCTGCCGGCGACACGGCGCGCTGAGCGGCGGCGCGTGGCGCGCGTGGCGCGCCGGCGGCCGGTGCGCGCTCGGGTGCAGCTACGTTACGGTACCACTGACTACGGCCAGACAGGGGCACGGGCTCTGCACCAGAGGGGCATGGAAGGGGAATGCACCTGTTCGTGCTGCTCATCATCGGTATCTCCGCAACCCTCCTCATCTTCGTCAATGTTGGACAGCTGCGTCCGCCCAGCGAGATGGCAGCCGGAGCGCCGGGCGTCAGAGTCAGCAATGTAAGGCAGAGTGATTGACATGCAGACAAAGCAACCAGGTATTGCAAAGGCATGTTGATCGCCTCAGTTTTATAGGAACGAGGATGATACATTACCACACCATCCCTCCCGCTTTCACCCCAAAACGAGGGAACGGCAGCACGAGCTCATTACGACGAGGAAGTCAGTTTGATGACATTAAAACCTAATGACATTGGATGCACCAAACGAAGGACGGTATGGGACGAGAAACACGCTTGAGAAGAGCAGTGGACAAGAGAAAGAACAATGCACCAAGAGTGTTTCTTCCCAGTAGCAGGATCGAATGCCACCTAAAGGCAAGGTAACCGAATAAACAGAAGGGCGCCGCGTTAGACGCACTTCAGTGTGGCAGGATCGCGTACTGAATAAACAAGCGGGAAATAAGCCCGTGCTTCCACAGGGCAACTGCCAGCCAGGAGCGCCCGACCGCGGAAGCCGCTGACCTGGTCCACGAGCGGTGAGTTGTCCTGGTGGGTGGAGTCCGAGTCGTCGGCGCTGATGTGGAAGCGGCGCCGGTACACCTCGTGCGCCGAGTCCAGACTGCGCTGCGACTCGTCCGAGGTGGCCACTTGTGTCGTCCTGCCGGCGGCGAGCGGCGGCCCCAGGTCAGAGTCGCCGTCCGGCGGCGGAGGCAGTACCGTTGGCCGGGCGGCGGCCCCAGGTCAGGGTCGCCGTCCGGCGGCGGAGGCAGTACCGTTGGCCGGGCGGCGGCCCCAGGTCAGGGTCGCCGTCCGGCGGCGGAGGCAGTGCCGTTGGCCGGGCGGCCGCCCTAGGTCAGGGTCGCCGTTCGGCGGCGGAGGCAGTGCCGTTGGCCGGGCGGCCGCCCCAGGTCAGGGTCGCCGTCCGGCGGCGGAGGCAGTGCCGTTGGCCGGGCGGCGGCCCCAGGTCAGGGTCGCCGTCCGGCGGCGGAGGTAGTGCCGTTGGCCGGGCGGCGGCCGCTCCCGACACCCTCCACCGTCGCCGGCAGCCGTGGAGACGTGAAACCCGACCCGAGTCGCCGCATGAGCGCAGCGAGAAAACATGGGCACATTCCGCGAACATGTTCATTGAGCCAGATGAGCTAAAGCGGTTAGAGACGCCGATTGGATGCTGGTACCGATAAAAAGCCGTCCCACAAATCAGCACATACTGCATGCCCGTTTAGTGCGTGTAGGAAACGTGAGCAGAAAAAGGCACCTACCATTTTAAAATGTAGTACTTGATGTGCAACACATAACCAGAGCGACCGGCAACGCACACATCAGGCAAATGTCAGTGTTGAAGCGGAACGCTCTTGTTAACATGATGGCGTTATTGCCACAAGGTTAAACAACTATTTTCACCGACCTTGGCGCGTTTCATTCGGAGAGTCTAAATCGGTTGTCAGTTTGAGCAAAATGTTGCCGGCAAGCCAACGCTGGCCGTTGGAAGAAGACGGCGTGACTCCAAATGCAGATCATTGCCGCCAAGTCCTGCGTGGGAATCAGCTTGATTTTTCGACAGTTGCAGTACATTGGCTCGGTCTACGGCTTCGCTCGCACCGTGGCCAGCCACTGCCCGACTCCGACGCAGTTCGCCGCCGACAGCGCGGCCGGCACCAGTACGCACCCGGCGTCCGGCCGCTCCCACTGCGTGAGGCGCAGCGCGTGGCTGACGTAGTAGACGCGTCCGATGGCGTCCTGGCGCTCCTCCCAGTCGTGCGGCAACGGCGCCATCGCCGAGTCTGACGACGAGGCGGCCGGCTGCTGGCGGGCCGGACGCGGTCACAGATACGCCGGCCGCGGCTCATTAACGGTCAGCGCGAGACAACGGGGTCCAAGACCACACCACTTACAGCTGTGCCATGTCCGTGCACACCTACAGCAACGGGAATGGATAAATTATGTGTATTAAAAGCGGCACATTCAACACAACGGTGACACCTGTCGGCGGGAACATGTCAACAAACCCGAACGAAGACCCCAACACAGGCCCTAGTTCACCACACAAACCATCTCGCGGCGCCGGTCTGAAAACGGCAACGACGGGCTGCGGCGAGGCCAGCGACACTCTGAGAGGACCCCACGCGGCTGGCCCCGCCGTGTCGCGGTGCGCGGCCCGCGGCCCGCGGCGGCGCCGGCCGGCCGGGGCGCCTCACCTGGGCGTTGGCGCCATCGGGGCCGTCCCCCTCGGCGTCGAGCACCTCCCAGTCGGGGCCGGGCTCGGACGGCTCCTCGAGCGACTCGTCGTCGTCCGGCAGGCCGGACGGATCCGGCACGTACGCGTGGAACAGCCGCAGGTGGCCGCGCACGTGCGAGCGGGCGCTGGGGGCGGCGGCGCTCGTCACAGCTCGGCCGGGCGGGCCGCCGGACGCACACGAGGCACGCTCCAACCGATCTGCAGGTTTGCACTGCTGGAGCGCGCCTCTCACATCGCACGTCTTCCAACGGCACGCAACAACTGGCTACGTTAGCATGGCTGTGAGATCAGTCACCCGGCTTCTCCTCCAGCGACGTTCAGCGTGGTTTGCTCACAACCACTGTTCAAGTCATTGGACGACCACAACCAGATCCGGAATTATCTGGGAGGGCGCAACTGGCGCGACTTTGGCGCGACTGACTTTGGCGCGATGCAGTTTATCGTTTCACTGTTACTGTTACCCATTGCAAGCACATGAAATAATGAAGACGCTTTCATGTTACTCAGTCGGCGCCAAAGGCTGCGAAATTTCAGGGGATGTAAGCTTACCTGACTAGCCTACGGTGTCAGGCATCAATGCAACAGACATTAACCCAACACGCCCGGCTATTCTTTGAGAAGCAGCTGCAGCTGCGCACCACCCAATCTAACGGCCACTTCGGTGCCTATACTACATCTCCGCGGGTGACGTGGAAGTGGGGGTTCGGGCGAAACGACGGGCAAACGTGACCCAGCGCCACTATCGCATCACTACGCCTTCACACACAGCGTGATGAGACCCGCTGACGGGTTTCCGCTCGGTGCACGCGGAGTGCTAACTCGTGTCGTCGGCGGTCCCGGGGAGGTACGGGGGGAGGCCCCCCCCCCCACCCGTACCCCGTGAGCCGCCGACAGTAGCCAGTTCAGAACTGGCCGCCGATCACAGAGAGGTCCCTTTACATTCAGATCTGATGGCAACAAAATCGGCCGTTACTAACCTATCATTACACAACACAGACTCTTGCTGTGCTAATGCGTTCCGCTCCGCAACATTGGCCGCTACCGGAAGCAAGCGCTCTCACCACTAGTGGACGTGATGAACATGACCAGCGTCTATATCCGCTTGCCGCTGACCACGAGCACCGTCTCACACCCCAGCGCCATCTTGACAAATATCGTGAGGCACACGATTCACCCTAGTGGCACGCGGATTTTTCTCTCCGAAGAACAGCCGCAGAAGGACACTATGAAGACGCTGTTCTTGCGCACAAAAACCCATCCGGTCCCCACTGCACCACACCTGCACCAGTAAGCAACACCCACAGCAGTGCAGTCCGGCCAACCGCCGTCAAAAGCACGGCACATTTACCTGAAACAGCACCAGAGCCCGGTGTTCCCGTACGCCGACATCCCTGCCGCCTAGCCAGTCGCTGGCGCGCGCACCAGTCGAGCGCACCGCGTGCGCCACCTGTCGCGTCCAGCGACGGGCGCAGACGTCGGCGGCGCGCGAGCGTCCGTGCCCCGGGCGAGCGCGCCGGACAGATGATGAATGCGGCCGCCCGGCCATCGGCACGCTCGCCATTAATGCGGCAGCAGGGCGGCAGGAGGGGCCGGCCCGCAGCGCGCCCGGCGTCACCGCCGGTGCCGTCCGCCAGACGCCGGCCGGCCCGTCGCGTCGGGCGCCGCTCGGCTGACGCCCGCACAGACAGCAGCGCACACCCATTCGTCGCGAGCTCCGTGGAGCAGCTGGCAACGCCGCCTGAGTCAAGAGCGGCTGGTGACATCTTGGACTTGCTAACAGGAAAGAACCACTGGCGCGTGTGTAACGAGCTGGCGTGTGCCCGGTGTGCTATCCATGGCGCGAGTGCGCATGAGGACTGGCGGTGCGGCCAACTTCGTGTAGCAGCCTGAGTACCCAGAGTAAATATATCAATTTGATGGGTTCATATTTGGCAGGCCCATGTCATGACCGCTTGAGGGCGATGCAGATGCGGGGAAAGGCTCGCTCCGTCGAGAAGCCGCGGAGATGGAAGCCCGTCGGTGGCGTGAGCCGATCCATCAGTCCCATAACAGGCGGCAGCACGGGACCGGGCCAAACCGTCGTGTGTATACCAGCTTCACCAGCCAGTACAGCACATACAGCTGGAGGTCCAGAGGAACCCTGCCCCACAATCTAACTGCGGCCCAGCTCGGCTCCACTGGATGTCCCACGAGCACCAGTTTGTACCGGCGCGTACAGCATGCCCCAGCTCCGCTGCTGGGAGGGCCGACCACCAGCTCAGCACCACACGAACACCAGTTTGTACCGGAGCACGCAGCATGCCCCAGCTCCGCTGCTGGGAGGGTCGACCATCAGCTCAGCACTACACGAACACCTGGCGGCAGTTCGTCCCTGTGCGGCTGCACTGACGCCCATAGCAGCCCCCCCCCCCCGCCCTGCCCTCCCCACCTGGACAAGTCCTGCGTCGCCCCCTTCTGGACTTACCCACGCAGATCCGTCCGCCTCATCGGCGATCCACAGCTCAGTCGGCAGGACAACCCGACCGAACTTCACAGAGAAGGCCCGGCTGACCTTCGAGAGGGACCGCTCCCTCCCACAGGTCCGCCCCGCCGACCCCGAGCCCGCGCCGGCCTCCGACTCAGCTGGCTCACCTGCGCGGTCGGAGCACATAATTCTTCTCCGGGATGGAGCGGCCGGGCCTCTGACGCGGCAGCGTGGCCAGCGGCAGCTCGATGCGGCCCAGAAAGTCGTCACGCGTCAGCCGGTTCTCGTCGTACACCTCCAGCACCAGTCTGTGCTCGGCCGGCTTCACGCGGAACAGAAACTCTTGGTTCCACTCCGGGTTCAGCGTCTGGGGCGGGGCGGGGGCCGTTTGAGAGGGCGGGGCGCGGGGCGGGGCTGCCGGCCCGACCAGTTCAGCGGAGCGGGCGTCGCAGCGACAGCTTTCTTCACGAGGCAAGTTTGCTATCGTCTGCAGTAGAAGATGCGCCACAGTATGAAGTAGAGCGTCCAGGGAAGAAAGCATACAGCACACACAGACAGGACTGCATCTTCAGGGACATTACTCAGTGCACGATTAGCGGGTCAACGATAGCGCGCCAGCAGTCAGCTGAAGAGGCCCCGATTACGTCACAACTCAGTGCCGTTGCAACAGCTGTCAAATCCCTCATCGACATCCCCATCGCAGCTGTAAACAGCGTCCGGTACATGCCCGCCGATCATGGACACCCGCATTTTGGAGGTCGGCACAGCCTTTTGCCAAAACATTTCATTTCGTGGCTATGGCAAACCATGCTCTGTGGCGAGGACAGCGAGTGGCGACGGCGAGAGCCCGTAGCGGCGACGGCGAGAGCCCGCACGTACCCTTCTCTTGGTTTTGGTGAGAACGGCGTCGATCACCTCCTCATCGTCACCCTCGCCGCGGACTAGGTCGATTCGGACGTACGGATCGCTGGCGCCGAAGATGTCCTTCCTGGCCAGGTTGTGGCCCGAGATGACCCGGAGGACAGCAATTTGGTGGCCTCCAACTGGAAATGTCATACGTTTACAACGGCGCGTGAACAGCACGACGGTGCTCACACTCACGCGCGGCAGTGCCAGTTGAATCCTGACAGGAGTTCACGGCAGTCGCTGTTCAGCAACAGCAGTTCCGTTAGCTGGAGGTGCGCCACACGAGAGGTTAGCTCTGACATCTGCCCACCAGAGATATACCGGATTCTGCCTGAAAGGTGGTTCTATGCTCACCGGGTCCACCCCTGGGTTTGCCATGTTATTTCTTCTGGTCAAAACTATGAATCATGAAGCTCAGTACAAACACAAAATTTCGCACAATAAACCTTATTGATAATAATTGGAGTTTGATGGCGCGCCGACTACGAAAGCCATTTTGCACCTGCACAGAAAATCTTGTTATCGCCAACGTTCACATACGCAATGCTTAACATCCACAAAGCTTTCGGCCATATCAGCGCTCTAAAAAGAAACTGGTCGCAGCGCCGAGCTCCGCGAACAAAATTCCTTGGGTCTCGAGTCTTGATTTAGATTGGATTTCGCCACATTTGCGAACCACACGTATAAGTGGGCACGGGAAAGTAAACAGCGATCACTATATTCGGGCGCGTCGGGCGCGTTGTAACCGGCATCACTGATCTCACGTACACTACAGCCGGTGAGCCGATTTAAGCGGTATGGGACGAGCGAGGCAATAACAGACGGGCCTGTTACCACCACGGCGATGACATCAAAACGACAGGCAACAGACCCCATCGCCTTTCAGCAGCTATAGAAGTAGGTGCCCTACATGTATTGTGGCATCAATCTCCAGTGCAGTCAGCCCTCGCAAGCAGAGGCGTCCCGTGAAGCGGTCGCGGACAAATTTATGTCACATCCTTGAAAACTGGCCACCTGGGGGTCAGGCAGGGGAAGCTTACAGCAGGAAAGGCCTTAAGTTCTCATTTTCGACATAGTGAGCTCTAATGCTCGGGCTCCAAATGCCCAACGCAGCCGACGTGCTCGAAAACCCAAAATAAACAAAAGAGCCCGCGTATTGAAAATCACCGCACTTCAGCAGTAGCCCTCCCACTCAATTTCGGTGCCTGCTTAATATGCTGTTCTCACTAGCACGGCCCGCTATAATGAGCGCCGGCTAGTTTCGTCACCAGAACTCACAAGGTTTGATAATTTCAACCCATGCAATCGGTTGAGTTTGAAGGGTTCACGCTTTTTTCTCAGCATATATGGACATCGATCACATTAAGTATTAGGCTTTGCGCCCTTCGCAGCTTTCGTGACCTAATCCCTCTCGGTCTAGACCACGACGTATTGTGTCCGAAGTCGGTGAGAACGAGGGGTGAGATTGCCCGTCGGCCGTTTACTGGCGCGTCTTCAGGTAGGAAAGTGCGCGGATCGGCAACTGATTTGTCCCGGAACGTTTGCTGGCGCCATGCTGTCAGCCCCATATAACCTGATAACCATGCTCTGGTTATCAGGATCTGACATCGATATTTGCGACGACCAAAGTGTGTGGATCTACGGCTCCCGCACGAGCCCGCGCGCGGTCGGCTGCACGCACCGACCCACATTTCCGCCCGGACTATTGTCGGCCCTCTGCCCCGTCACAAGGAGCCCAACCTTGTGACGTAACAGCGTTCGATCGTAGATACCTGGCTCTGGTTTCGTCCCGTCTCACCTGATAGCCAGTTGAGTGTGTTACACTCCCCACACTGATATAACCGTTTGCAGGTGGAGTTCTGACAATACGGCAATAGAGCGTGGAAATATTTACACAGCTTGCACGCTGAGGCGCATGGGGGGGGGGGGGGGGGGGGGCGGCGGATCAAGTTGCTGAAAACTGTAGAGCAATGGTCAGAGGCAGTAAAAATACAAGCTCGCCAAAAACAAGTGTTCGCCTTGAATAAGAGTGTATCTGGTACAGATCTGCTGATGAAACTTTCAAGCAAAATGTCACATAACCTTGTTTTAAGGTTGGCTCCACCTGACCACCGAATGAATGGAAATTAACACAGTTGTAATTTACATAATTGGTGGTTGTGAGCAACAACTCGCAAAACCCCAACCATTTAGGGGGTAAACTGTACATGGTGTGTGTACCTGCGTTAGGTTTACGTCTGTTCCCGTGCTTCGGTAATTGTATGGCACATGCTTTGAACAAGGTAACAAATTGATAACCAGATTATGTGGGTCCTGGCACATAGAGCAAAAGGACTTGCATCCACAGATCCCTCGGCATCAAACACCATGCTGACTGACCTACAAGGAGGGAAAGGGGGGGGGGGGCAGGTAAAAGGCCTGAGATTTGCCAGCTCCATGTGGGGCTTGAAGGTAGGGTGTTGCACAACAATTACATGAATCACCTTAAAACCCAATAATCACTTAGGTTTGGAGGTGCAGAATCATAAGATATAAAACCAGTGGCCCCAGGCTTCTTGAAAGAACACAGAGACTGTGCATATATAGCTGCAGGGGGCATGGAACAGGGAAGACATTTTAATGGAGGAATACACTGAGCTGCCAGTACTCACACTATTATGAAACTTTAACATTGGCTCCATGAGGATGGCATGGAATGAGTTAGCTAAGCATACCACAATTTCACCACATTCCCCTCTGCTCACCAATTCACATCACATAACAATAGAAACAGATGGGTGGCCCTGTTTGTTCTCTTGACATGACCCTGCATCTGATTTGGGAGTGGAAGGGTCTGGTACCTATAACAAAACAGCCAGAACTCAATCAGGCTCACAAAACACACAACCAAATATAGGGATATATATATATATATATTTATGTATATATATATATATATATATTATATATATATATATATATATACCTTATATGTATATATATATATACATATATATATATATATATATATACATATATATATATATATATATATATATATATATATATATATATGTGTGTGTGTGTTGTGTGTGCGTGCGTGCGTGCGTGCGTGCGTGCGTGCGTGCGTGCGTGCGTGCGTGCGTGCGGTGTGTGTGTGTGTGTGTGTGTGTGTGTATTATATACATGGGTTATGGATGACAGCCAGGTTGGGCTAGAGGGCCACAGTCACAGTGAAAGCTGGGGGTAGGTGTCATGGTGAAGTGTTGGGGGGAGGGGTTTGAGCATGGAAGTTAGGGGTATAGTTGAGGTATTGTAGGAGATAGAGCCAGGGTTTAAAGTTGGAGAAGGGTTAGAGAAAGTGGTTGGGGTGGAGTCATAGAGGTAGGGTTGGGGGTAAGAATAGGAATAGGGATTAGGTATGGTAGCTTAATAAATTGGGTTAGCTTAGCTAGTTAGGTATTAATTAGCTGATGCTGGTGAGTGGTTCAATGGCCAGTGACCAGATGACAACAGGACCCATTAGGATATGTTGAAGTGCTTCAATAGGCACCATATATAATATATATCATGTGCTAGTTCTTTATCAATGTTATCATACAAAACTCACATATGCCACTTACCAATTCAAAAATATCAAGCTCCATGATTTCCCAGCAATGATTCTGATTGTTTTTGGAGCCAGCAACAATGTGATGTATGTACTCATGCACCAACATGGTGAGGCAATGTTGGCCACACAGCAATGATTCTTATTGTTTTTGGAGCCAGCAACAATGTAAGTATGTACTCATGCACCAACATGGTGAGGCAATGTTGGCTACACAAATTATCTGTCCTGGATAGGCTCAAATGTTATCTCCTGTAATCACTAGGTGGCTGCCTCATATGGTCGATCAGCATGGGTTACCAATTTTGCTCCCACATAATCTATGCATCACAGAAAAAACAGCACTGCATGGTGAGTGGGATAGGGTGGACACCATTAACATAATTTTAAGCCTGGCTGGTGTAAGGAAAATAAGTTATTATTTTAATGATATTCCTATAATGGTCTAAATCCTTCCCTAGCATGCCCAAGGCACAGTATTTTGTCAGTATCAGACACAGGTGGAGCATGTTGAGCATAAGCAGTGGAACATGCATGAGCAGGCGTGGCACAGACTGCACATTGTAGAGAGTTAGACAAGATCTCTTCAGCATGCATATAATGCTGGGTGTTCAGGACAGCTTAGGCATGCAACCTCTCTATAATTCAGCATCCACCAAGTGGCTCTAGTGCATACCAAGCTTTTATGCATGTGCTGCTTATAAAAACATTAAGGACTGATTTGGAAAGCAAACAAGGACCTCTAGAAAAATACAAAGCAGCAACCAGAACTGCAAAGCATAGTCAGGCCATAAATACACTGCATTTAACAGATACCTATGCTAGAAATTTGCAGTGAAAATTACGAGCTGTTAACCTCACACTATTCCCGTCACTCATCTGGTTTTAAACATGCATATCATTCAAATATGTTGTGGGAGAAAATAGAGATGGCAAGGCATGGGAAATTTGATGCCTATAAGCCCCACAGATCATGCCTATCCTGGCCCAATGATAAGAGTGTGTGTGACACTGAAGGCAAAATCAGTAAGCCAATGGGACTTTGCAGAGGAGTTAAAAAATACTTAAAAAGTGCCTGAAAACAAGACAGCAAGGGCAGCCAGTGTGTATCAGCAAGGAGGATTCTAGAAAGTACATACATGATTGGACAATGCTCATGGGCTTAGCCACAGGGTGTGTACCAAGGTTGCAGTGATCTGAACATGCAGTTTGGGGATAGCATTAAGCTCCTGGTGCAAGACCATTAAAATTCAAAAGCTTGCAATACATTAGTTAGAAGGGTCTAAGCATCCAGTTTACTACATGGCCGTTTAAGCCCATTTGTGGCTGGTATCCATTGACAGCCTGATCCCCCATTCTTCGATAATTCACAGGAACTCGAACCCGCCAACAAAATATGACAACCTTACATAAGCCTTGTCCTCATCATAGCCTGAAAACATGCAATTGAAAATTCAACGTCTGCCCACACCTCAGATCAGAAAGCAACCCTCTCCCCATCCAGACTTTCCCCAACCCTACATCCCCAAACGCAACATCTATGCCCAA